TCTAATGGCGTTGAGCACATCTTGGTTGCTGAATTCCATTGATAAAATGTCATTTTGATTTTGGAAAGCTGCACATACATCAGATGTATGATTGCTGATGAACCTTATTGTATCTTCGGTGAATTGGGCATCTTCTATAGTAGTTGGGTTTAAGAGTTCTCTGAAATACTCTACCCATGATGATGGAGTGGCGCCATTCTCTGTACTGCGTGATGATATGTACTTCTTCACTAACTTCCAGAACGTCGTACAGTCCTTGTCGTTTGCAGCTGTCAGAATACTAGTGCTGATGAAAAGTTTGTAATCATTCTGTTTTGTCTTACATAGTGATTTAAAACAGTTCCTGCTTCTTTTGTAGGTTTGATAGGTTTCTATCGTTGAGAGTTTCCTAAAGTTATTTCCTGGACTTGTGTAAAACCTTGAAATAGTTACAGTCCCTTATAATAACTGAGAAGAAACTTGAAACCCAGATCAAGTATACAGTTAAAACATAACCTCAATGAAGCTGCAAGTCTGCACCAAAACAAGCTGAAATGTAATAGTCATTGCCATAATAGCTTAAACTGTTGTAACAAGTAATGATTGTATGTGCCAAGACCTGCCCTTCTGTGTATGTGCTATCAATAATGATTGTTATCTGATTACATGTATATGAAATAAAAATATAATATGTATATTTTGTGTTATGATATGTGAAGTATCACCAACGAACAACCATTTCAGTCAGATTGTGTAACTCACAGGGCCAAACTTAAGTCATTTCATGAAATGTCTAGAGTTCAGTCATTTCATGAACTGACTGACCAAAGCAGTCATTTTACGAATTGACTGATAACACAGTCTGACGGTAACAAATATATGTTCATCGTGATGTATTTGAATATCAAAATACAACAATTCAAAGAGTTATAGGCTACATACATTTGAATCGGAAGGAAACATTTATATATTTACACACAATTGTCTCAGTCACAATGGGCAGATTGATTCATGAGATAGTCATGTTAAGTTCTTAATAAGAGATTTATATATAACACTGACAATAAGGCCCAGTATGAGGGTAAACATAGGCCGTGCTTTGCCGTTCTATCGAAACGTAATTCCATCAAGATTGACAGCTAGCTGTTCTTTTTGGAACCATGCATTGACTTAAACTATCTTTAGCATTGCTCCTAAATCGCTAAATGGAATTGGTATGGGTCCCAGTTTACGGTTTCACTCAACCACCACTGTGTTTCACAGTGTCATGTCCATACCATGCATTTTGATTTTTGCATTTTATATTTGATTCATATGTTATCATGTTGGTATCAACGTCAACATGGACAATGGCTAATGGCAAGATAGTGTTTGTTATTCTGTCATGAACAGACCAAAGATCAAAACGTCCTGACCAAAACCGAGGTCGTACTTTCTCTTCCTTCTCCCATTTACTGTCGTCAATTTCCTCTACATGACCAACACCACATGATCACCCAGAAGAGAAAAAGACGTTACGTATACATTGTATCAGTTACAACAGCGATGTCACCTTGACCATCATGGAAAACACGGTACAAGATCATTAACAAAGTCCCATGTGAGCCTTTTCTTGTCTTCCCAGAAACTTTCAAATCTCACACTTTCACAGCTTCTACATTTAGTGCAACTCCACACATGAGGATCTGATTAGGTCTTTAAGTCTTTCTCAAATGACATGGCCACATTATATTTGTTACACTGCCTGCAATTTTTAGGCTAGCAGATTGTATTCTTTCATGCCATCAGAGGTATTTTCTGCGTCAATCAGAATTAAATCATGTTCCCTGCTGTTTAATTTCAATAAACATGACGTTCAGTGAAAGACTCGAAACCTTCCAAAGCTCACCATCAAGTGTAGGTGTAGAGTGAACACCAGTGCACACTGCACAGTACGAACTTTGCTCACCAGAACAATCTTCCAACAAAACCAAGCCCATCAAACCTTCTCGCGAGTAGAATCTTGAATCCTTCGTGTGATCGAAAAGTGGTGCATCATGTAGCTATACCCAAAGGTCGCCGCCATATAGTTGGAATATTGCTGATTGTGGCGTAAAATAAACTCACTCTCTCACTATAGTTAAGGTAGTTAAACTGCGCCATCAAGAAATGTAAAGTTAGTTGTGTTGATATGTGATCCTCAGTGTAGTCTACTAGCTGACTTCTCACACAGGTACTAGACACACCCGAAAGTTTCCACGCAAATCTAATGTCAAGTCGCGATTTCTTCAGTTGTGAAAATGAGATTATTCCTTTCAAAGTATTATTCTTTTCGTCAACAACAAGAACAACGACAACAACAACATTAACAGAAACAAAAGAGAATATAAAAACACAAAACGAATACAGCGTTGACATCAATGTTCATCCTGCACATTTCAATATCAGACGTGTTACAGGCCTGGGCTCCGTTGTTCAAAACAACCTTATCTCTTAAGGTCAACCTTATCTCTAAGATTACAACCTTAGAACTTTACTAAGGTTAGCCTCCCGTTGCACGAAACAACCTTAACTAAGGTTAACCTTAAGTTAAGGTTGATAACTAAGTTAGTTAAGGTCCGACCCAACCTTAGCGTCTCTAAGGTTGGGTAGAGAATATGGCGCCTGCTTTTATTTCATACAAGGAGATCGAGAGAAGTTTGAGGAAGCAGAGAGTCTACAGAGACAGGACAAGTCAACTGGACACGCTGAATGATTTCGAACTTATTTCTCGCTACCGTTTGTCACGTGAAGTCCGAGTTAAGGTTGCCCTAAGATTGTTTTTTGCAACGGGCGTAACTTTTTCTTAAGGTGATCGTAACTCTAACCTTAGTGTTTAAGGTTGACCTTAGCTAAGGTTGTTTTGAACAACGAAACCCTGAGCCTTAAAGGAATTCCGGACAACTACAAATAGTGCTGGTTGCAGGAGACAACCCGAACACCAAAGACAGACTTCAACTGAATGAGTGAAAGTGTGACATCTAGGCTACCGTGAATATCTCTCCACAAGTGAAAGGTGTGTCTGAGTACTTTAAAATCCTGTCCTCAAATTGAAATTATTGAATCCAGTCGCATGCACGAGTGACAGGCGTGTATCAATAAAAGGACATGAACATATATCGATGCAGATATGATTACTTTGTGCCCAGTGGAACAACATGAACGACTCTAAATGGATGCATTATCTCTGTCATGTCTTCAATAGATGAAACTCGATGGAATTGATTGCATTCGCGTTTCATCAAAGCTATTCATTTTAGTGGGTGAGTGAGTAAACAGTATTTAAAGTATTTGTGACGTTGCGTCAGACAGAAAGCCATAACTGATGCAAGTCTACGACCGTGATCATCTTGGTAAGGCCTCAAGCCATTCAAAACAACTGGAGATTCCAACATATGATTGCAGGCCAAAGGGACACAACTCCGAATAGGGGCCCAAGATGCAATGGCTAGGTTTAGATTTTATATCATCATCTGGGTTTTATGATGCAATTTAGATGGGATCTCAAATAGCTTAGACAGATTTAGTTCTAAAGTTCTTTAGTTTGAAATCATTTTAACTCTCTGACATGTTGATCTATTACTGATATATTTTAATGAATGCGTGTTTCATGTTTAAGAAATGGAAGTGTATACTTTAGGTTTTAATCCCCAACATGAAGCAGAGGTCTCTTATTGCCCCACGTCACCCTAACACATCACCGCCTAGATGCCAAGACAGAAATTTCAACGAAAGTTCATACTTGTGCCGTTTTTACTCCTATACCCCACTGAGCTAACGAGTCGCAGTTTAACATGGACGCACTATACTTAATGTGAGGGGTAATAAAAATGTTTTAGTGTATTTTGGGGGGCGGCGGTTGTACCCTCTTGGTTAAAGCGTCCGCTCGTTTTGCTGAAGACCCGGGTTCGATTTCCCACATGGGTACAATGTGTGAAGCCCATTTCTGGTGTCCCCGCCGAAATATTGCTGGAATATTGCTAAAAGTGGCGTAAAACCATACTCACTCACTCATTTCTTACTGGAACTGGATTACACAACACCTGCATATAGCACTGTCTTTTAGACCTTCTTTATGAATTTACACCACACACACAAAACAACAATACCGTCAAACAGAAACAGGAAATTCTATTCATCCTTTTATACATTTACATATTTCTGTATTTTCATCAGTACTCTTTCTTCAGCAAGATAAATTCCAAAGTGCATATAATGCACTTCATCATAATATTACAGATGTGGATTATGTAACACCTGCATACCTGTCATCAAAAACATGTTATGTATTTACATCACTAATCAAATTACGATATAATTACACAACACCTGAAATAGTACACATTGTTATTAAGAGTTTACTGTCTGTATTGACCCACCTAACCGTACTACAACCGGTTTATTTAAAACTTGCATATAGCAACCTTTTCATCAAATTATCCTTTGAGGTACTCTTACTGAAATTGGGTTCTATCTGCATTTGGCATACTTTGCAGTAAAAAATCATGTTTTGTTTAAGAAATATAGTTTGCTCTACCCCCATGCATAGGTCGTATACCCCAACGAGGACGCTTGCGTCCGAGTGGTTTAACGTTCGAATAGTTCAGGGCCTAATGTACTTTATTACACTATTCATGGGGGTAGAGCGAACTGTTTTTCTTTTCTAACATGCCAAAATTAATACACACAGGAATTAGTCTAGGCAGAAAACAAACAGAAAAGCGACGGTGTCGGTGACCTAACTTAACAATCCTCGTTCAGGGCTAACTGGCGGGCTCTTCCAGCGACATGACTGCCCCCTACGTTAAGACGTACCTTGCCGTGAAATCAAATGATAAACAGTTTTAAGACGGTTGACGTTTGGGTTAAATATCTTCACTATATTATTTTAGTTAAGTCTGTGATTATCGTAAATTATTGGTTTGAACAGTAAATCCAGATGAAGGTTGACTAGTCACACGACATTCCACGGATGTATTGTGGGACTATGGACATAGGCTCAGTCAGCGAACATTGCCGTGTCGCAGTTTGAATGTGATTCGAGCTGAGACGTTCATCCGTCGAAAAAGGTTACACGTAATGTTTCCACCTGTGATGTTAGCCGAGTGAAGCAACTGCAAAGCTGGAAACAGGGTGTTGCGGAGTAGTTCACTGTAGGAGACTTTACGAGGCGATGACAACTGACATGCATCGTGACGTCAGTTACCGAGTGTACGTTTGATTACGAAGGGGCAGACTAGAATGGCGTAGTGACGTCATTGCAGTGTGACGTAATGCAAAAAAAGTACAGTCGTCGCCTTTGATCTTTCAGCGAAATCATAGTAAAGCTGGATAATATATACAGTAAACTGTGTCATTAAAAACACACTTCAAATAGAGATGACTAACCATCCTTGACCAAATTGCACAACATCTTGATAGAACAAACCTTAACATCGAACATTGTCTTACTTCTATAGACGGCATTACATAACACCTGCATATAGCAAACATTTTCATCAAAGTATATACTTCAGACATTTATATGTTTTACCAGAAATGGATTTTCTTACATCTGAGATATAGCGAACTCTAGCATCAAAATATTATCTAAGTATCACTAGAACTGCAATAACATCTACACATTTCACACTTTCTCACCCCAGCACACTTTTTTTTCCACATCATTTATTTCACTAGAACAGGATCTTGATACCCCTTGGTACAACAAACATTATCATTAAAACCATTCTCGGGGTATCTACATCACTAATCTCACCCTTGAAGATCCGGGTTAGAATTGGTTTTCAGCAACCCAATGCCGTGCTTGTCGTAAGGGTCGCTGACTTGGTTGACACATGTTATCGTATACCAGTTGCATAGATTGATGCTCATTACGTTGGTCACTGGATTATGTATCCCGGACTTGATCACCAAAACCACCCTTGGAGTATCTACATCATTAATCTCCTAAGAACTGGATTATTCAACACCTGCATGTTGCAAGTATAATCAAAAGCATTGGCATCACTGATTTTGCTAAAACTTGATTATACAACTCCTAGATATAGCAACTGCATCCTTAAGGTATCTACATCACAATCTTACCAGACAACATTATACAACACGTACAACGTTCTCATCAAAACCCTCTTCACATATCTACATCACCTGTCTTACTTGTACAGACTGGGTTATGTTACACAGGGCTGTAGCAAACATTAACATCAAAACCATTTTGGGGTACTTACATAATTAATCTCTCTAGAACTGGACTATACAACACCTAGATACCGCAAATGTATCTTCGTGGTATCTACATAACAAGGCATTATAGAACACTTACATATAGCAAACTTTCTCAACAAAACACATTTCATATATATACATCACTTATCTACTTGAACTGTATTATATAAACAAAGGGATGCAGCAAACATTAGCATCAAAACCAATTTGGGGTATTTACATCATTAATATCCCTAGAACTGGATTATACAACACCGGCATGTAGCAAACGGTATAATCAAAAGCATCCCCTTATGACTGACTGACTGAGTTTGGTTTTACGCCGGTTTCAGCAATATTCCAGCAACATCACGGCGGGGGACACCATTACTAGTTCTACCAGATAGAGATTACATAATACTTGCATTCGAACCCGGGTCTTCGGCGTGACGAGCCAACGCTTTAACCACTTGGCTACCCCACCGCCCACGCATACCTTATGTGTTGACATCACTTATTATAATAAATCTGTATTATTCAACGCCTAGATATGGCAAATGCATCTTTGCAGTATGTACATAAAAAGCATACTAAAGTACTGTTGGAAATAGAAAAAACAACTGTTTTTTGGCTGTTACTCTGTATCCCTAAAATTTACACAATTGCAAATAGCATATGTCGCAATAACCCACATCGGCCTAACTGGACGTTCAGTGGGATGCATAGTAGGATATAAAAAAAAGCATGTTTACTCGTAAAATCGGGCAAAACTAAAATTACGAATAGCTGTTTAAAACAATAGATCAGACTTTAGATGACAATTAGGTCGCTCAGCCAAGTATGGCGACGGACCGTGGACACATCCGGCATGAAATGCACGTGCTGCCTACAGGCACAAGGGGTCATCTGAAAGATATTTTATGCGTTTTCTTGTATGTTGAATATGTCTCGTGTATTGATTAACATCTGACGTGTCTTTCTTTCATAAAGATGATGTTGAGATATGTAAAACAGTATGATACTCATAGAAAGGCTTAAATCAGCTATCGTACTAAAGGTCTCAAAACATATAGGTGGCATGACCCGAAGATCAACAGGACTGGATATTATGTGTAAATTGTTACTTGCCCAGTTTAATTCCCCTAAAGGATTATCTTACCTTACATAGTTGATATCTCTATCTCCCAACCCGACCCCAACCCCCGCCTGCGACACCCGATCTGGTTTTGCTTTTGAGACGACCCCCATGCATGTTTGTTTTTATAGTGGTAGTGAGACTCCATGGCAGCTACATCCTTAAGAGCTTCACAGTTATAAAAATATTATTTTGTACGTCATGAAGCTAAGTCAAATTTCAAAATGGGCATTTTAAAAGTGTCCTTTGTAATACAATATCACCGCACACTAATTTGCATAAAACCAAGGTCTGTTCCAAATAAGTAGACTTTGACACACTGCTTCATTTCTGCACTAATCTCTTCTCAGTAAAGTCCTTTTTTACGTTTCCTATCTCCCTACCACTGAGACTGTAGTTAGGCCGAACTCAGTTTAACAGATATTTCACACTTTCACATATTACCTACATACAATGTGGATATAAATGTCAAAAAAGACAGTTGTTTTTTATTTCCGACAGTACTTTAGACAAGCATTAAAGAACATTTTCATATGGCAAACTTTCTCATCAAGACACATATATTTACATCACTAATCTTACTAGAACTGGATTATATTATAGAGTGGTGTAGCAAACATTAGCATCAGAACCAATTTGAGGTATTTACATAATTAATCTCACTAGAACTGGATTATTTGCATTCGAACCGGGTCTTCGGCGTGACGAGCCAACGCTTTAACGACTAGGCTACCCCACCGCCCACGCATACCTTATGTGTTGACATCACTTATTATAATAAATCTGTATTATTCAACGCCTAGATATGGCATCTTTGCAGTATGTACATAAAAAGCATACTAAAGTACTGTTGGAAATAGAAAACAACAACTGTTTTTTGGCTGTTATTCTGAATCCCTAAAATTTACACAATTGCAAATAGCATATGTCGAAATTACCCAAATAGGCCTAACTGGACGTTCAGTGGGATGCATAGTAGGATATCCAGAAAAGCATGTTTACTCGTAAAATCGGGACAAAACTTAATTTTTTTAACGAATAGCTGTTTAAAACAATAGATCAGACTTTAGATGAGAATTAGGTCGCTCAGCCAAGTATGGCGACGGACCGTGGACACATCCGGCATGAAATGCACGTGCTGCCTAGAGGCACAAGGGGTCATCTCAAAGATATTCTATGCGTTTTCTTGTGTGTTGAATATGTCTCGTGTATTGATTAACATCTGACGTGTCTTTCTTTCATAAAGATGATGTTGAGATGTATAAAACGGTGTCTGCACAGGACGTCGACCTTTGGGTGACATGTCACGGTTCAGGTAAGAAAAAAGGTCGACGTCCTGTCCATTTGACATTATACCAATCAACAGGGGATTAAAAAAGACAGAGATAATCCAGTGTTTACACAAGGTGATAATCCGGATTATGCAGTTGAAAGCACAGACAACAGGAGAAAAGTATTATATTTCGTCCATTTTATTTCTGATTCGAAATCATCCCACATGAAGCAGGTGAGATGCAGCATCTGCAAAATCTCTGATGTTGATGAGGCCATTCCTAAGATCGTGTTTTAGGACGTCCAGGCGACGTTCCAAATCCCTGTACTTTTACGTTTCCTATCTCCCTACCACTGAGACTGTAGTTAGGCCGAACTCAGTTTAACAGATATTTCACACTTTCACATATGACCTACATACATTGTTGATATAAATGTGAAAATAGACAGTTGTTTTTTTATTTCCGACAGTACTTTAGACAAGCATTAAAGAACATTTTCATATGGCAAACTTTCTCATCAAGACACATATATTTACATCACTAATCTTACTAGAACTGGATTATATTATAGAGTGGTGTAGCAAACATTAGCATCAGAACCAATTTGAGGTATTTACATAATTAATCTCACTAGAACTGGATTATACAACACCGGCATGTAGCAAACGGTATAATCAAAAGCATACCTTATATGTTTACATCACTAATTATAATACACTGTATTATACAACCTTGATGTGGCACATGTATCTTTGTGATATGTGCATCACTAATCTGTATTAAACAACACCTGGAAAAATTGCGATAAAAAATATTCTTTAGGTATTACTAGTTCTACCAGACAGCGATTACATAATACTTGCATGTAGCAATCTTTGTCATCAAAAGTATACTTTATGTATTGACATCACTAATCGTAATAGCAAACGGTAAGTCTTTACATATCAACTTTTACTGGACCAAGATCATGCATTGCCTATACATGGCACACTAGCTATTTAGTCCAAAATACTTCATGTATGAGAAATAATACTAAAGATGATTGTTCAACACTTGTATACAGTGACTTAGTGACTTTAGTTTTACGCCGCTTTTAGCAATATTCTAGCAATATCATGGACACCAGAAGTGGGCTTCACACATTGTATTCATGTGGGGAATCAAACCCCGGTCTGAGCGTGACGAGCGAACGCTTTAACCACTAGGCTACCCCACCGCCTCACAAGTATACATCACTACTATACATCACACATGCAACATACCTCACTGGTGAGAATGTTATATTCAATAAAATCTGTCGATCTCAACTTGGTCTTGAACAACTGAATGACATCTTTGAGGTTCAGTGAAAGCTACGCTCAGAGTGATATGTAACCATGATTCTTTGGAATCTTTGACAACGGAACACCCGAAATGCCTTTTGAGAATCCCGGAAACACCAGGTGAGACGATAAATTCAGATGTGGTCCTCCTCATCAGTCCACGTGACGCATTCACCTTATGGTTGTGCAGCATTGATTTATTCTGCAACCATGAAAAGATGCATTCACATATATATTCCCAAACAAGGTTCCGAAACATCTGATTGGCTTAAACACCTAAAGATGCCGTCGAGGTAGCGCAGTTTTGAGGTTCATAAAACGAATGTATGTAGAACACAAGCACAGTAAACATTCTGGAGAGATTTCTGTTCACAGTTTTAATGACAAGCATGAGATCATAACCCGAAAATGAGCGTGAATGAACGATTAAGTTCTCTCAGGGTTTTAGTTCAATCTTACCTCCGATATAAGCAACCAAATGCTGAATTTACCTTCGATACATGCAGGACACTTGACTTCATCCAGGTTGGCTTTCTTGTACGGGCTGCCCTCAAAGAACGTGTGACCTGCTTAAGAAGACATATTTGTGTGAGCTTTCCAAAACAATAAATGCATAAGAAACGTTATTATAGCAATTACTACTCCAAGAGCTCAGCCATTTACCAGTGAAAAGACTTGTGTTTGTTCGTTTGTTGTGCTTAACGCTGCATTTATATCAGCAATATTCCAATCGGCGGATTGTAAGTAATCGAGATTTGGAGATACATAAATTGCCAAATGAAAACAAATTTAGAAATAAAGTGGACTTGAGTATCTGAATATTGCATCAATGTACTTTTTTAGTCCAGACAATTTAAAAAAGGTTTATGATTCAAACATTTGTAGGCATCAAAATGCGGTTAAATTATCGGACATGGATTAAACACTTTTTATAAAGCAGTTACCAAGTAGGCACCCGTGGGGAGGGAGTGACCGAATCCTATGTAAAAGCATCGATGATATCATGTCACTTCTAATCAGTTGTGATATAGATCACGTCATGATATGTAACTGAACAAAAATTTCTCATTGGGAAGAATGAATTATTTTGAAAAAGGGTAGTACAAGGTAGTTGATAGTGGCGTAATACCAGATGGTGAACCACGCGGGTTGCATGCAACACACTGTTTTGTGAAAAAGCGACAATGCACGTGTTGGTGTCATGTGACCACAATTCCATGTGTCTAACCACCAACACGTGTGCAGAATTTGCTGCCAATTAGAAAAAAAACACACGTTAATAATGATTTAGATATAAACAGTTTATCATGCCAAGCCTTACAAATGATGAACCAGTCTGGCTAGTCTACTGTTGATGTTGCATAAGCCATGAGATGCATTAGATGGACTATTCACAAAGTGAGTACAAGTGTGGTATCATCAAACGGGTACGGGTACGGGTACGGGTTCATCTGATCGCCCCAGTATGTACTCAAATACTTATATCACATTACTGTTAGTAAGCCTTTGCTAAGAAACACCTGATATCAATTCAGTGCACCTGTCACTCAGGAAACTGGAAATGCCTGTGGAAATGTGGATCTCCACGCCATATGGTACGGTCGTGGATGCGTTTATTTTGTCACATGGTTAAATTTGGGTAATACTGTTCCTTCGTGTGGTGATACATAAACATACGTTTACAAAACTTACCGTTTCTGCATTTGAACCAGCATCCAAAAACAAAAGGTTTGGGTAGATCAACATCTTGAACATGAAGCCTTAGTGGTAGATCATTAGATCCAGGGACAGACAATGTTTCTGTAAGCGTTTCTATCTTGGATAATGCGCGTGGACTGAGTGGCCCTGCTTGCCGTAAGAGTCTAATGCCGTTCTCCACAGCACGTCGCTCAGCATCGGGTATTTAGAATCAGGCTCAACTTCCCTATCAGCAGAAGGAAAGTTCTCTTCCTTCCTGTTGATGATGTTAGCATGTTCCAGAACATTTAGAAGGGTCAATAGTAACGTCTGACGCCTCAGTTCCTTTTCTGCATCAGATGTTTCTTGTTCACTGAAATAATCCCTCTGTTTACAAATCCATTTCTGCAAGTATATCCTGTCATCTGAACACTGATTGATCACTTTCAAATTTGACGAAGATCTATCCCATTTTTGTGTGGTTTTCTCAATATTCCGCACATCATTTAAGAGTGAGAATCTAATTTGTGCAGTTATCCAGCTCAGTTCACAATTTCTTCTGAATCCTAATCTTTCAAAATAATCAATGTGATGTAATTCTGTTTGGGGCATGGCTCTCTCGATAGCTTGTTGAAAGATTTCTTCTTTCTTTGTCTTAGCAGAGGATAGTTCAACAATGTCAGCCTGCATGCATTTTAGAATTTGATTATATCTAGAACACAGCAGGGGCAATTTCTATAACCTATTTCAGCTACCCCATATTCGTTGAAAAATGGTTGCATCCACAAATCCAGAAAGGTCATATCCAACACGTGTCCACAGTCAGAAAGTTGTACATATCTTCGTCTTCGTCTGTGTCTAGAGGGGCTTGGTTTCAATGGAAATTCGTCTGGGTCACATGTTCTGCAAATGTTTGGGCACTTCTCGCCACATAATCCAGGACACAGATGCTTGCATGGGAGCCGTCTTTTGCATGGTCTGGAGCAACGTTCACGTCGACATGTATCGTCACATGATTTGCTACACTAAAAATGTGGACAGCGTGAAGTGCATTTCTTGTAACATTTCGTACATTCTTCACCACATTTGTTGTCACACTGACCATGATCACAAAATATTGGACAATTGCGACTGCAAGGTGGGGTGTATGTGCCTTTAATTTCACCCATATGCCCGTAAACAAGCATGCATTCGTGTTCCTTTGTGCACTGGATATGTAAACGTCCTCCCCAACATTCAAAGCATGACCCATCACAGGGATGACCACATTTCAGGTTCGTTTTGCACTTTGCTTTGCACTGAGGATTGGGGAGATCTCTATCGTCACACATAATGGACTTTAGATGGCCACACCTCAAGAGCTTCAGTATGAATGTTTTACACTTCATGCCTTAAGATTTGCTCACAGTTTGTCTTGCACTGTACACCCATAGGATCAGTAGAGCACTGAACGTATTGTTCATGTCCACATTTGGGAAGAATTTTAGGAACTAAGACTGAGCATCTCCCACAAATTTCATGACATTTCTTCTTGCATGGATGTCCTTCTAGGCATACTTTCTCACAGTCGTGTTTACATTTGATAAATCTTGGGTCGAGATAACACTCAACGTCTTGCTGATGACCACACTTTGGCAAAGTCTGAGATACCATAACTTGGTACGGTTCACATCGTTCAAAGCATTTCTGTTTGCACTGATGACCCCACATACAGATTTTTTCACATTGCATTTGACATTGTTCTTCTTCAGGAGGTACAAAACAGTATCCCTCCTTAGGATGGCCACACCCTGGCATCACTTTGATGACAACAAACATACATTTCCCACACTTCTTAAAACATGACTTTGGACAAGGATGTCCAGCTGGACATTTTTGGAGACACGCTTTCTGGCATTCATATAAGTTATGCTCTCTGTCAAGTGGATGACACGATAATTGGCAAATTGGTTTAGTTGCAACAATTCCCTCCATGTTTGAATGGGTTTGGCAATACAGAGGTAATCCCGGTCCAATTTCACCCATTCGCTGCACATCAGAGATAATCCTTCTCCAGATGTCATTCTTTCTGGCCAACAACTCAAAATTGCCTATAACATACATTCCCATCCTTGCTCTTGACAAAGCCACACAATCTCTGTTTCCAATCCTTAGAAACCCAACTTTTTCCTCGACATTATTCCTTACTAGTGACAGGAGGATAATATCATTCTCTTCAGCTTAATAATTGTCCACAGTCGTGACAATGACGTCATGAAACTCTGACTGTGGGAATTCTTTTCTTATTTTAGAAACTTGACCCAAATACGCACTTAGAATAGTTATCTGTGACTTCTGATAGCCTTGCAGGAGGAGATACCTGCAAAGTCTAACTAGGTAGTGTACCTCAAATTCATTGAAGTGACTCATTGAATCTTCTTTGTTGCCTTCGTTTTCAGAGTGACTGATGAAAAACAGGTTCTTGGCATTACCTTTTATGTTTTCAATGGTGGAAACTTTGGGATGGTCATCAAGACGAAGGTAAATGTGTCTCATCAGTCTCGAAATACAGGGCCGCATTCGATGCTGAATTGTTAGACAGTTGATTCTGAGTCCATTGTTAACCATTCTCTCAAATAATGAAAGTTCAAGTTTGTATCTTTTGGCTAAAGTATACACATTTGGATTGGGACGAAGCTGCTGGTGATCTCCAATCAGAATAAGATGTTCACATCCCGGATGTATTGATGTAACTGTATGACTTTCAAGAACTTCTGCCGCCTCTTTAATGACAACAATGCGCGGCTTAAGCAACTCCAATAGTTCATAGTTCTTTGCGGCCCCTGTTGTAGTCATTCCAACTACCTTTGCTTCTTTCCAAATATCCGCATCAATCTTTCTTTTCACATTTTCGTACTCTGTCACCGTTTCTTTGAACTGGCAAAGCTTGTCTTTCAGCTCATCTATCTTCCTTGTTGCAAAAAAATCTTGTAATAACTGTACCCGGTACCAATATAGATGCCGTCGGTCGTTCCATTTCAGTTTCCAAATGGTGATCACAAAATATTGGACAATTGCGACTGCAAGGTGGGGTGTATGTGCCTTTAATTTCACTCATATGCCCGCAATCAAGCATGCATTTGTGTTCCTTTGTGCACTGGATATGTAAACGTCCTCCCCAACATTCAAAGCATGACCCATCACAGGGATGACCACATTTCAGGTTCGTTTTGCACTTTGCTTCGCACTGAAGATTTAGGAGATCTCTATCGTCACACAGAATGGACTTTAGATGGCCACAACTCAAGAGCTTGAGTATGAATGTTTTACACCTACACTTTGTGCCACACCATTTGCTACATCTGTGTCCGCACGGTAAGATTTGCTCACAGTTTGTCTTGCACTGTACACCTATAGGATCAGCAGAGCACTGAACGTATTGTTCATGTCCACATTTGGGAAGAATTTTAGGAACTAAGACTAAGCATTTTCCACAGATTTCATGACATTTCTTCTTGCATGGATGTCCTTCTGGGCATACTTTCTCACAGTCGTGTTTACATTTGATAAATCTTGAATCATGGTAACACTCAGCTTCTTGTTGATGACCACACTTTGGCAAAGTCTGAGATACCATAACTTGGCACAGTTCACATCGTTCAAAGCATTTCAGTTGGCACTGGTGACCCCACCTACAAACTTTTTCACATTGCATTTGACATTGTTCTTCTTCAGGAGGTACACAACAATATCCCTCCTTAGGATGGCCACACTCTGGCATCACTTTGAAGACCACAAACATACATTTCCCACACGTGTCAAAACATGGCTTTGACAAGGATGTCCAGCTGGACATTTTTGGAGACACGCTTTCTGGCATTCATATAAGTTATGCTCTCTGTCAAGTGGATGACACGATAATTGGCAAACATGTCCACAATTAAGTCGGTATCACACCTTTGCAGGCAACCTCCATCAGGAGCAGCATTGAAGTCCTCTGGTTTAGTTGCAACAATTCCCTCCATGTTTGAATGGTTTTGGCAATACAGAGGTAATCCCGGTCCAATTTCACCCTTTTGTTTCACGTCAGAGATAATCCTTCTCCAGATGTCACTCTTTTTGGTCAACAAATCAAAATTGCCCATGACATACATTCCCATCTTTGCTCTTGACAAAGCCACACAAACTCTGTTCTCAATCCTTAGAAACCCAACTTTTTCCTCAACGTTACTCCTTACTAGTGACAGGAGGATAATATCATTCTCTTCACCTTGATAATTGTCCACAGCTCTGACTGTGGCAATTCTTTTCTTATGCTAGAAACTTGACCCAAATACGCACTTAGAATTGTTATCTGTGACTTCTGATAGCCTTGCAGGAGGAGATACCTGCAAAGTCTAAGTAGGTAGTGTACCTCAAGTTCATTGAAGTGACTCATTAAATCTTCTTTGTTACCTTCGTTTTCAGAGTGACTGATGAAAAACAGGTTCTTGGCAATACCTTTTATGTCTTCAATGGTGGAAACTTTGGGATGGTCCTCAAGACGAAGGTAAATGTATCTCATCAGTCTCGAAATACAGGGCCGCATTCGATGCTGAATTGTTAGACAGTTGATTCTGAGTCCATTGTTAACCATTCTCTCAAATAATGAAAGTTCAAGCTTCTATCTTTTGGCTAAAGTATACACATTTGGATTGGGACGAAGCTGCTGGTGATCTCCAATCAGAATAAGATGTTCACATCCCCGATGTATTGATGTAACTGTATGACTTTCAAGAACTTCTGCCGCCTCTTCAATGATAACAATGCGTGGCTCAACCAACTCCAATAGTTCATAGTTCTTTGCGGCCCCTGTTGTAGTCATTCCAACTACCTTTGCTTCTTTCAAAATATCCGCATCAATCTTTCTTTTCACATTTTCGTACTCTGTCACCGTTTCTTTGAACTGGCAAAGCTTGTATTTCAGCTCATCTATCTTCCTTGTTGCAAGAAAATCTTGTAATAACTGTACCCAGTACCAATATAGATGCCGTCCGTCATTCCATTTCAGTTTCCAAATGATAATAATAATAATAGTGGGTATTTGTAACCGCGCCTATATCCGTGCATTCAATGCTCGCTCAAGGCGCTACATCACACATATTATTACCCCGGATAACCAAAGCTGCCTGTTAGGCGCTAGAAGGTTATAGTCACATGACTTATCCCACCGGGTACCCATTTTCCTGCTGGGTGAACAGAGACAATGTTGAACAAACTCACTTGCCTAAGGTGAGACCACATGTGTCACATGTGCTTCGTTGTGGGGCAGGACTGAAGTCCTAGAAACTCTCAGGAGCCAAACTGCCAAGCACAGTCACCCATCCAAGGACTCTCCGAGCTCGACGGTGCTTAACTTCACCTGATTTGTGACCTGAGCTTTGAGCACAGGACCACGCGCCACCACGAATTGGATGTCCAAATATTCATCCATATCATCATATGTTCCATGCTGCTTGTTTTTTCTGAGGAATGGTATGTTTCTCATGTTTAGATCTTCCTCTCTTGGAAACACAGACAAGGTCCGGAAATCATCAGGTGGTTTGATTTTCTTTCGCTGCTTTTCAGCCTTTTCTTTTTCGTTGTCAAGCCTGTTCAGTATTTGTCCTTTTATATCTGAAGTTATTTTCATTTCTTGAGAAAGATCTGTATTCCATATTTCTGTTTCTGCAGTTATTGTTTGAAAAACGTTCTGTATATGCATATCCAGACCCATTGTCAACATGACACTACTTGGAATGCGACTACTAATATGTCGCAAAACAATGTATAAATCCTTTAATGTATGTGTCGCCTCCTCTCTAGTGCAGTCTCCATTTGACATTTCAGTCAGCATATTCGGTACAGTCTCATTCAAGAAATTGGAATCCTTCACAGCAACCAGTATCTTTGAGACATTTTCAGATGAACTACTCCTGCATCCTTTAGCTTGAGTAGAAATGATCAGTGCGGTTCTGTCTAACTATTCGTATTTGAGCCTGTCTGAAACCACCCCCAAGTATTTGCTGTGTAGTTCGCGATACTGTCCGAGGAGCGACAGTTTAATTGTTGAAGACTTTGAAAAGACATCTTTTCATTTCCGCAAAATCCAGAATCATTATCAGCATCTTCAGCAGCATCACTGCCAGTCATTTCTTTCTCCACACGTGAATCCGAATCACCTTCTATATTCTTAGCTAAATTCCTTGTTGCCTTATTTCCATGATCATTGTTTGGTACCTCATTGATTTCAGATTTCTTGCTGTTTGTTTCAGTGGGCGCCTGTCCTTTTTGCTCTGTGGGAAGTCTGTAATCATCCACGCCCTGTTTACTTATTTCACAGCATGGTTTTGACACAAGCTTACATCTTTGATATTTTTCATCATGTTCATGCACCCCAAAGGTATTGAAACAACCCGATCCCTCCGGTACGTCATAAAGCCATTGATTGTATCCTCGAGTCTTTGTGCAGTACTTTGAGTAAACCCTGGTCTGGCCCTATCATTCATCCTAATATCATTTAAGCGATAATTCACATCAGATCTCGTCATGGATTCGTGAGGAACTTGTGTTGAATGCCTTTTTTGACATTCAGATCTTTCTCTGGAAGAATTGTCATTGGTCTGGTGTTCTAACAAAGGATTCTCACCTAATCCACACCTCTTTCTCATATCATCTTCATATGCCACGACTTCAGACTCTGCAAAAGATGAACCGAGAGATGTTTCTGACTTTGTTTCGCCAACGTTTCTTCTCCTTTCTTCCTGATATTTGATCCTGCTGTTGATCTTCTTCATGGTATCTCAAAGCCCTGTTTCTGTCCATTGCATGACATCCGACGTGGTACAGGAATCACCTGCAGAAAATATTTTTCATTAATTTCTTGTTTCTGTTCCAGGTGATGGGATGTTATATGCTACTTTTAGTCAAGATTACCGGAAATGGCTGTTGGATTAAAAGCAACCCGCTTACGTGCTCAAAATGTAGTTGGACAGATTTCTAGTATTTGCACTTTCGACAAATCACCCGCGTCAGATCAGAGAAAAGAATGTCTCGAATTTTCTATGGTACCCATCAGCAGATCCAACTGGCCAGATCTAAAATGTGCCATGTTCTGAAATTTGCGTAGACACTTTTAGCAAAGAGTGAAATAGTCTGGAATTTGCATATATATCTTGAGCAAATCACCCCAGTCAAATAGTCAAAATCTTAAACATGATATTCATTGCGTTCAATTAAACAAATTAGTTGATATCAACACATTATCTTTCTGAACAATATACAAATTTTACACAATCTGTATCTCAAAATGCGTGCTCAAAATGTAGTTGCCCAGATTTCTAGTATTTGCACATTCAACAAATCACCCGCGTCAGATCAGAGCAAAGAATGTCAGGAATTTTCTATGGTACCCACTAGCAGATCTAAAATGTGACTTGTTAGTGCAGGGGCTTGTGTAATTCGGTGGGAATTACATGTTAATTTTTGGAACCAATGATAATTGTAATCACTGTTGTGTGTGGATTCAGGAAATCATGGTTCCATTTTTTCTGTTTGCTATAAGTGACATTGTGGGGTGATTGAATATGAGTTCCCAAAATTGCTCGCGACACCATTTCCAGAAAAAACATGCTTTCATAAACCTATCACAACATAGTCATGTAGCATATCAAAAGGCAGCTTATAATGTATGACATTGAGATAACCACATAAGATGCTTCTAATTTCAATTTGGTGACAAAAAATATGACATAATCAAACAGATTAATCAAATATTGTCTTTCGTTCATCTGACACCAACATTGTAAATATTGGCGTATTTTAATGGAAACCATTTATTCAATCAATGTATTCTTCAATTTCATAATATATACTACCATGACACACATATGTACGTAGTAATTATAGTTCCCAGATAAGGTTAATGTGACTATCATATAGTCGTGCACAAGAGTCAAGTCAGGCCTACCAGTACAGTCCGAATTGACATACTGACACTCGTGCCTGGGTAATATCACGATAAACGATAACTACATAATACAAGTGGGGTATGCAAGTGCAATAAATAATGTGCACTAGTATATTTATTTTAATTTTCACATTGTTAAGTAACTTGCATAGTCAATGAATCCGTCATTTACCTGCAAGAACAAAATATGCTGTTGAAATACAAGCTTCGACATTATTTGTCATACAAACACAAGCATGAATTCTTTTTTCTCTTAATTTGGAAACTAGAAGGGCTCTCGTTAGAGAACATGCCTCCGCCTTGCACAGCAATTTCCTTTCACTATTACATTTTTTAAAGTAATACTATGTACTTGTACTTTAATGTACTTTCACCAATCCGTATGCAGATAGCCCTTGTGTCATACCTAACATAACCACCAAGATTCATTCAAATCCATCCATAACTTTATTAGATATTATTCATATTCTCCATTTATTCAACATTGCGAAATTTCCAAAGTACCTCTGGGTACATGTACTTTAACATACACTCTTAAAAAAAAAAGAAGAAACGCAAATAAACTTTGAAAAAATGAAAGTTTGTACGCAAATGTCAAATGATTGTCATGATGAGCTTGACTGGTATGGAACACAATCAAAAGCCGCAACTATTGCTTTTTCGCGTGCAACCTAAGACTATAAAAGACCCAAATGCCATCGTTCCGCCCGGGACAGAGCACCAGAACGGTTTGGAGCCCGGAGAATGTCCGACCAGACAATCAGGAACCGTCTCCGAGAGGTAGGTATGCGTGCCAGACGTCCACAATTTGCCCCCTCTCTGACATGATTATATCAACGTACGCTAGTCAGGTGGTGCAGCACGGTGCAGCCATGGAACCTTGGAAACTGGAGGCAAATGTGGTTCAATGGTATCCCCTCAAGCAACGTGACGGAAGACAACAGACCACGCAATGAATATTTTGCATCCAACTGCATCAGGCAAGTGGACAGATTTGGTGGTGATGGTGTGATGATGTGGGGAGCTATCTCATGTACC